TATTTTTTACCTCTGTTTTTATTTTGGCGGTTACCATAATGGTGGTCGAGTAGATCATGTAGTGCGTGGTGGAGAACCCTCACCCCGCGCAAGGGGGATGATCGCACCACGTTGTGCTCAATTGGTCAAGCACCCTCGAGGCAGTTACACCGTGCTTACAACTGTCTCTGGAAGTGAAAGCACCAGAAAATAAATTAAGTCATACGCAGCTGTCATCCGTACGCAAGGAAGTAAGCACAAGATGCCGAACACCCTTAGCAGGATGCAGCGCACCCTTCATGCGACTCGCCGAATATCTCACGGCGCTTCGCGCTTGGTGATGTGAGAGCCTGGTCCGGTGAGAACCCGGCGTGCTCCGTCCCGGCTTTGTAGGGATGCGAGGTCAATGGTGTAACGACTACGGCATGCACGACTATGAGTACCCCCCCGCGCCCTCTCTCGCTGCCCCCGATGTCACAGTACTAGGCACGAGAAAATGTCACTGCCCGAGAACAAAATAAAGGCATACTGCAGGGACTGCAGAGAGACTCGTCTCTACCCTCCGAACACCACAAAAAAACACTTCCAAGATGGCCTTCCCCACGAGGGACAAGAAAGAAGCATGGCGGCGAAGACTGAGGGCAAGAGGCCGCCGCAGCGACAGATTCCAGACGCACTTGCAGACACGGTAAAAAACCCTGCCCGAGAGCACTGAGCACTTTTCAGCATTCTTCATTCAAACGCAAACATGAGCCATTGCAAACGGGGAGGAAATTCTTCCGCCTTCTTTTTCAACACTCCGGCCCGTTGTGGAAGAGAGGACCGGGGAAACGCGTCGAACGGCGTTGAAGCGGAGATCCCGGCGACTGCACCTGGGGGTTGCCGATCAGCAGCGACATCATGTAAATAAACATGTGAGAGGAGGGGAGACGTGGGTCGTCGAGAAATGGGGTCCAGATATGAATTGTCAGCAATAGTATTTCATACCAGGCGTGGGGGGTTGGAACAAAACCAACAGCTTATCCGCAGGTCGTAAAATTCCCCATAGACGAGGATACGCTACGCACTTCCGCAGAACTAAACTGAAGCTGAAGGGAGGCGACGTAAATTCAAGGGGAATTGACAAAATGGGATATACCCCGCGTGTTCAGGCACAAAATGGGGGATCCTTCATCTCGGTGTGGGGCGGAAGGCCTGACGCCGGGTAGCAGCCTTCTAGTGCTTCAGCCCCATGCACCACGCCCTCAGAAAGGACGCCCAGCTTTTCGGGGTTTGTTCACCGACAGGAACAGGGTTAACTGGGGCCTGGAAGAGGGGAGCTTGGTGGAGGACCCCATTTTGTTCACGAAACCGCGGGGTACACCCCCCTGTCTGCTAAAAGTTTATCGTGTACCCCATTCTGTTCACAAACATATCCGATAATGTTCAAGGCATAGACTACCCCTTTTTGTTCAGTGGTGACCCTCCCGCGGACTGCCAAAATGGCAACCAACAATCAACCGCAGACCGCACCACATCTCTGTATTTTCTGTCTCCTTGCTGCGCCGCAGACAACGACGAAGCCTACGTGTTGCACCGCAGACCATCACACCCCAACCACACCTATATGTATGGTGGTATGCTGTTGGTTGTTGGTTGACATTTTGGCAGTCCGCAGGAGTGTCACCACTGAAGAACAAGGGGTATGCCTTGAATGTTATCGGATATGTTTGTAAACAGAACGGGGTACTAGATAAACTTTTAGCAGACAGGGGGGTGTACCCCGCGGTTTCGTGAACGAAATGGGGTCCTACAACAAGCTCCCCTCTTCCAGGCCCTAGCTAACCATGTTCCTGTCGGTGAAAACAAAACAAAAAAACCTGGGCATCCTAAGGACCTGGCGCATGGGGCTGAAGCGCTAGAAGGCGGTTCAAAGGCGGCTACCCCGCGTCAGACGTTGCGCCCCACACCGAAAAAAAAGACCCCCCGTTTTGTGCCTGAACACGCGGGGTATACCCCATTTTGTCAATTCCCCTATATTCAAACATCAGGAGTGGCTAATGGACACGCTGGGATGGGGAAGAGTATATCGAAGGGAGCCGCAGGCATAACGAGTGCACGACAAGAAACACGCAAGCAGCCAACGTCATCTCAGGCAGAGAAAGAGGAAGAGAGGCACGATTATTGGAAGACACAACACACCTTGTCAACACGGTTCAGGCGTTCGCCGAGGCTTTCGGGCCAGCGTCGTCGCCAGGAACATCGCTTATCTGGGTCGGAGATGAAGAGCCATCTCCGTTTCCATCCTTAGCTTCCCCTCCGCCCCCATCTTCATCCACCCCGTGGTGACCTTCGCCACCTCCAGGCCTCGTCCTCGAATAAGCACGGCTTGAGGTAGCGTTTAACATCGTCGTCCTGATCAATACTCTCGGCGGAGGGGATCGCCCATGCGTATTCTAAGCCGATCTGCACGAAGCTCTCCTAGAACCTGAGACACCAAACAAAGAACAAAGAGCGTTCCATTTGAATGTCAGTTTGTCTGACGCCGCGGGGTTTATCTCGTTAATAGCTTGCACCAAACCACGTTCACATCGACGCGGAGCAACGCCAGAGCGCACTGAAACTGCTGTAAAATCAAGAGCAATTGACAATATGGGGCATACCCCGCGTGCTTGAGCACAAAATGGGGTATACTTTTTTCGGTGCCGGGCGCAACGCCTGACGCCGGGTAGCCGCCTGTAAACCGCCTTCTAGTGCTTCAACTCCATGCACCAGGTCCTTAGAAAGGACGCTCAACTTTCTTTTTTGGCTTTCCGCCCACAGGAACAGGGTTTACTAGGGCCTGGAAGAGAGGAGCTTGTCGGAGGACCCCATTATGTTCACAAACCCGCGGGGTACACCCCCCTGTCTGCTAAAAGTTCATCAAGTACCCCAAATTGTTCACAGACGTACCCCATACTGTTCAAGGCATACCCCTTTTTGTTCGGTCGTGACGCTCCTGCGGACTGTCAAAATGGCGACCAATATCAACCGCAGACCACCGACGTAGGTGTGGCGACAGAATATGTTGGGGTATGGTGGTCTGCGGCGCAACATGCAGACTTTGTGGTGTTCTGCGGCGAGGCAAGGAAACAGAAGATACAGAGATATAGTGGTCTGGGGTTGGTTGTTGGTTGTTGGTTGCCATTTTGACAGTCCGCAGGAGCGTCACGACTGAACAAAAAGGGGTATGCCTTGAACAGTGTGGGGCGCGTTTGTGAACAATTTGGGGTACTTGATAAACTTTGAGCAAACAGGGGGGTGTACCCCGTGGTTTCGTGAAAAAAATGGGGTCCTCGAACAAGTTCCCCTTTTCCAGGCCCTAGTTAACCACGTTCCTGTGGGTGAAAAGTAAAAACAGTAGTTGGGCGTCCTATTCAAGGACCTGGCGCATGGGGTTGAAGCGCTAGAAGGCGGTTTCAAGGCACCTACCCAGCGTCAGGTGTTGCGCCCGGCACCGAAAAAAAGTATACCCCATTTCGTGCCCGAACACGCGGGGTATACCCCATTTTGTCAATTGCCCAAAAATATTTCAAAAAGCTGGAAACACGCCAGGAACAAAGCAATTGAGAGTGAAGCAGTTTCAGACACCTTGCACGTCCATCGAGCGCTTGTCAGCCTGACAATCTGTCGACAGTATGCCTCGGGAGACAGGGTTAGACAAATAAGCTAAAAACAACGAAGGGTAGGCCTAACTAGCTTACAGTAGCTCACATATCGGCATAAAGGCAACGTACATGTCGCGGATGACGTCCAACGTTTGGTCGCCGCCGCCATACTTCCCAGCAACGCCTTATGGAAAAAAACGTGGCACACCAGGAAGGTGCGGTATAGCGTCGTGGTCGGGGTCACTCTCGTTGGCGAAGGGTGGCCTGGAGTGCCCATCCTTGTCTTGATGACATCCGCGAGGACGCACTGCTCGAGTATCTATGAAAAGAGATCAATCCATGCCGTGAGGGGGGCGAGGTGGTACTTAGCGGGTAAGGGGCTGGATTGATGGATGCACCAGAGCAAGGTTGACAGTAGATAGTGTGGAATTGCCGGTGAAAACAGGAGGCAGCAGGGCGAAGATGGACTGCAGCAGTTATCCTCGTTTTCAAAGCGTACGTGGCGATTCCAAGACTCAAGCATCATGAACACGGAAGGCGGCCTTAGGATTGTAAGGACAAACACTCGTTGTCACCGGTCCCGTGGCTTGGCACCATGACATGTTGGGTAAATGCACACTATCGCTCACCGTGGGCTGCACCTCTGTCCTGCACGACAGGCGAGCGCTTCAGCATGCGAGCCCCTCAAACCAACACAAGTGGTGGTGCGTGTGCGTCAAAAAGTCTCTACCCCTTCCACAAGCAATATATCGCGAGAACTGTTGCCTGCACGTCCCCCCGTTCCTTCCCTTTCTGCATACGCTTCGGTTAGCTCACGAATGAACGAATGGACAGCTTTCGAAAGAAGGAATTCGTCGTTCCTTCCGTCCACATTCAATGAGGAGTGGATGTACTGAAAACGTGAGTGGACCTATGCCGGCGTGATCGGCGATGTTATGCACGACTCTGACAGCAGGTGCAGTAGTAGACCTCTATCTGTTCCGGGTAGACAGAGGTGTAGGGGGGTTGCGACATGAACTTACCACCATGCACTTTGTTTTTCAAATCACGGGGCACCACTTGTGAAATATATCTCGCATTTACAGCAGGGAGTTCACTTAATAACCAGACCGTACCTGGACTATGTGGCGGTGCGCTTGCATCAGTCGATCTGGTCGAAGCTCACGCTCTGCATGGTCTCGCCCTCCGACACGGGAATGCCGTGCTTGCCTGGCCCTAGAACCTTCGAAAACATGACAGTACCGAGCCCGCTCATGGCTGTCTCCACCTAGTACAATACA